ATAATGAGAATGCTCAAGAATTGACAAACATTTTTCTTGTACATATTTAACTACTTCATCAAATGACCATTGAGGATCAAGTTCAACACGATATGGTAATGTTGATACAAACATTCCTATCATGTTCACTAGTTCACTTCGGTATCGATTAGCATTGATAGAAGAAATACATAAATCAGTCTCACCATGAGTTAATTTGCATAGGAAGACATAAAATATCGATAATCCAAGCTGAAAGAGTGTGAGATGATGTGATGATGCATAGTTTAGAAATGATCTACATATTTCATCGTCGAAAGTGATCTGAGCTGTAGAAGCTAAACCTGATCGTTGATTAGTTGATGAACGTTGTCGATCAACAGGTAATGATAATTGTCGTGCCAGATTATACCCTTTGAGTTGTAATAGCCAAAATTCTTGAGCTGATGTCATGTTCATTATCTGCTCATGAACAGCATAGTCGATGTATGGTAATGAATTATCATCTACAGGTAATGAACCATCAGATTGATAAGCAAGAGAGAGATCACGAAGAAAGATTGATGTCGATGCTCCATCAAAGCAAGCATGATGAATGGTAAATAATATGAGATCATCTTTAGTTAATACATCATCATTATTCTGAGTCAATGCATGATTTGATTGATCACGACGAAGAATATGACAATTAATAACATGTCCTTTTGATAAATCAAATAAATCTGATTGATTTAAAATCTTCTTTACAATTTCATTCAGTTCATGTTCTTCATCGGGAAGATTAATCATCAAAAATCTAGATAATTTCTTATCATTGATAATAGCATTTGTATCTAAACAATGTTGAAGAATAGTACCATTTGTGTCAAGAGAGAGTGCTGTTCGAAGAACTTGATGTTTTTTTACGATAGATTGATATGCATGTTGTAATCGTGAAATAGATATATGATCATTCAGAGATGATATACGATAAATTAATGGAATAACATACATGTTGTTAATATTATTATTTGTTGATGAAAATCGGATTTGTTCATCTAAGAAGATGCGTTCTTGAGCAAATGATGCTTTAGCTACAATAGAAAAATAGAATATAGTTAATCGAAAATTCTTAAACATTCCATGTTACCTTTCATGATTTGTAATGAAGACCAAGGATTATCGTCGAGAGTGCTAATGATATTGATAGATTGTTGAATGAGTTGAGCATGATGAATAATTGTTGGATGTTGAAATAGACTCGAAATAGAAAGGGTATTTGTTTCTAAAAGAAACTCGGTCTTGTATCGATGAAATAGTTGCATAATGAAAAGTGAATGACCACCAAGAGTAAAGATATTTGTATCAGTTGAGATTTGATTTTGTTTAAATATCTCACACCAAATACGATGAATACTAACTTCAATATCATTTGTTGGTAGTAATATTTCATCATGATTAGTGAGATGTCTTGATGAAAAATCAGGTGGAGGAAGAAGTTTTCGATCTATTTTACCATTTGGATTCAAAGGTAATTTATCAAGTATAACAAAGAAAGATGGAATCATATATTGTGGAAGATGAGACTGACAATGTTGTCGAAGTTGTTCTTCATTTACACTATAACTCTTTCCTTCGACATAAGCAACAAGATAGTCACTGTTGCATTGTGCTACTTTGACAACAACACACATTGCGACAATACTCATAATCACTGATTCAATTTCACTTAATTCAATACGTTGTCCTCGAAGTTTCACTTGATAATCTTCTCTACCACAGTATTCTAAACAACGGGTTTTGGGATTGAAACATCCTAAATCTCCTGTCTTATAGCATAGTTCATTATTGATTTGACACATGACTTGAGCTGTTAACTCATTTCGACTACGATAACCGGCGAATACACCAGCACCTAAATAAGCATTAGAAGAATATGAACAATTTGCTCATTTGCGTTTGTGTAGAAAATCACTCACCCCCAATAATAATTTCACCCATGTGCATGCCAGGTATAGTGGGTTGAAGATACTTGTTGACGACATAGATGTAAACATTTGCCATAGGTTGTCCCAGCGGTATAGAACTACGAGCAAGGTCGTCTTCTGTTATTAAATGTTCAACTGCTGCTTCCGTACATTCAGTAGGACCATAATAGTTGTAAATGCGACAGTTATTTTTCAGGTAACGCTGCATATCAACAACAGTGCCAACGAATAGCGCCTCTCCTAAAAGTAAAAACGAAACCTTTTGAAAAAAACTTGTACTTTCACAACTATTTCAATACCTCCAGTTGATACACATCGAAGCGTTTCGAGAACATAATTTCGATTTGTAGTATTTAGAAACTTAGTTAAATTAATCATTTGAGATGGTACAGTGCCCAAATATGACACTTGATGATGACTAATTGTTTTTGAAAACAATTCCATATCAAGCTGTCCGTAAGGATGAAGGATAATCACCTGGCCGCCTACCATTATAGTACCTAAAGTTTCGCTTAGATGTGCATCAAAAGTTACTGATGTGTGATGAAGAGAAGTGTCAGACGCTTTGATTATGTAAGATCTAATGTAAAACACGAAATTACGATGACGCAATTGAACCTGAAATTATAGAACCAAATAGAATATAGCACTGTTCTGTATTACTTAAATTTAATACACGTACTGCTTTTGGTATGCCAGTTGAGCCACTTGTAAAAATGATATAAGCGATATCCTTGGGTGTCACTTTGACGTCGGATAGTCGATCTATGTCAATATCACACTTTGAGTCATGATTAGTCAATATCGAATGAATATCAATTGAGAGAATATCATTATTGAAGTTCATTTTTGTCCACCAATGCAAGAGAACAAGACGACTTTGTGTTTGTTGTATGAGAGCATGTAAACGATGTTGTGGATCCCTAGGTGACAATGGACAATAGACACCACCACTCATTTCAATCGCCATTATACCTATAACCTATATACGAAAACTTCAATCATTCTAAACATTAATCTCAAAGAATAACTCACCATTGACAAACTTCTCTCGACACATTGACATATAATTTCACCTGGAACAACAACATGTTTATTTATAAGAGTTAAAGATAACACTTGGACATAATATAGAAGTTCACAATATGTTAATGATTGTTCATCCAATTCAACAGCTAGTTTTTGTGGATGTTTCATTACTTGATGTACAAATTCATGTTGAATACAAGTGAGAGGAGATGCAAATGATACTTGTGTATTATTTATTGATTGCACGAGTAATCTTTCATCTGGTAACGTTAATGATATTTCATAGACTGGCTTATTCGTTTGATCATCAACAGATGCAAATAACTGATTTAAAATTGAATGAAATCGTTGAGATATTTTATCAATTGTGTCTACATTGAATAAATCAAGTGATGCATTGATTGTACATGATAGTTGATTGATATTGATATCATGTTGGATTAGAAGTGAGAAATCACACTTATTTGTAATCTTATTGTTAGTAATGTTCATTGTGGACGGTATGGAAGAAAGTTGACTATCACCAATCATTATTAGTTTGTTGTCACTCCTAGTCATAGATGATATAAATTCAAATGATATATCAAGAAATGCTGGTTTTGAAACATTTGGATGTTGATTAAGAATACGTTGAAGAGGAAAATAAGAATATTTCATACTATTGGTTGTTATCTCTCGAACATAATCAAGTAGATATTGGAAAGACCAATGAGGATCTAATTGACATCGTAGTGGAATAACATTCTCAAACAGTCCAATTATAGATTTTAGTTCATCTTTATAACGATTATCGACATTCATTGAAATACATAAATCTTTTTCGCCATTCGTTAATTTAAATAAGAAGATAAAGTAAGTAGCCAGTGCTAGATGTTCATGTTTGATATTGTTTGATGATGCATAGGTAAGAAAATGATGTGAAAGATCTTGGCCAAAATC